AAGGGCACCTGGCGTCCAACTCTTGATTTCAGCTCAGGTCATGATCTCAGGGTCATAAGATTGAGGTCTGTGTCAGGCTCCACACTGGCTGTGGAGCCTGCTTGGGATTCTCACCCTCTTCCTCTGCCCCTCCCCCCACTCATGCGCTATGCTCTCTCTCGCGCTCTCTCAAATAAATAAAATCTTAAAAAAAAAAAAAAAGTCTAGAGAGCCAGACAGGATCCTGCCATGTGAGCCTGAATGATCAGCCCCCCAACCAAAGCAGTTGCTGGATCAGGTCTATGAAACAGGCCAGAAGAGAAACAGTCCTTGAGGGAAAAGTCAGTGCTGGTGTGAAGAAACTTGGGTCAGGATACTTTTTAGTGGTTACATCCCATTTTCAATCCCCAACATTGTGTATTTGTATCTTCTTTTTCTGTCATCAATCTTGCCAGATGTCTGTAACTTGGTCTTTTCAAAAGCCAAGGGCCTTCTGTGACATTTATCCACACCGCCTATTTCATTAATGTTGGTTTGTTTCTTTCCTTGTACTTTTTTGAGTCTTTTCAGTTGCTCCTTTTCCAACGTTTTAAAGTTAACGTTCATCCATTTAAAAGCCTTTGTTCTCTGCTACCGTAAGCATGTGAGACTATAAATATAAATCTCCCTCGATGGGCAGCTTCAGTGGGGTACTACCAGTTTGGATTTGCATAATTTTTCATTAAGTTCTAAACAGGCTCCAATTTCCATATGATCATTTTTTCTTTGACTCAAGTTTAGAAGTTTTCTTTATTTTCAAGCATACAATTTTTTTTTCTTGATCCTTTTGTTACTCTGTTCTAAGTAAATGGCACTGCGGCCAGAGAATATGGTGTGAATGGTTCCAGCTCTTTGAAATTTGTTGAGAATTGCTTTTGGCCTGGAATATAGTCAACCTTATGTTCCAACTGTGAAAAGAACATAGATTCTGCAGCCATCAGGTACATGTGGTCTCTGAACGCCTTAGATCAAACCTGTTAATCCCTGATGTTCAAATCTTTATAACCTTTATTTACTTTTTGTCTATTTGATCTATCAGTTACATGAAGAGGTGTGTTACATGCTCTTCCTGTGACGGTGAACTTGTCTATTTCTCCCCATAGTTTGGTCTTCCTGGTGAAATAAAATGGTTGTCACTCCTCTTGCCTTAAAATTTTGTCTGAGATTGATATAGCCATGCCAACTTGTTTTTGGGGTTAGTATTTGCCCAGCGCATCTCAGTCCCTCCTTTTACTTTCCAGCTTTCTATATCCTTAGGTTTCAGATGCATCTTTTATGAGCAATGATATATAGCAGCTGGAGGTTTTATAATCTGGTCTGACAATTCAACAGTATTTGTCTTCTACCTATGCCATTTTATTCATTTGTATTTATATAATAATAATTTCCAACATGCTTGGATTTATTTCTGTCATCTTATTTTTAAACACTTCCAGGAAGTACACCCACATACTGAAATCTACATGCATACGGCAAATGGCCTAATAATGAGCAGCCAGATGAATTATCACAGTGAACACATACATGTAAAAAAAAAAGAAAGAAAGAAACACCTACCATCTTATTTTGTGCTATTTTCCTCACCTTCTAATATTTCCTTTTTCTCTCCTCTTGCTTTCCTTTGGGATTGTTTTATTTCTTTTCATTTCTCATATTACTGAATTGGAAATCATCAGCTCTGTTTTTATTATTTTAGTGGTTATTTTAGATACTTTAATATGTTAAGAGTTCCTTAGTTGATTCCTCCCTCCCTTTCTTCCTTCTTCCCTTGACATTCCGGATGGCATTCAACTATGTGAGTCCTAGAGAGCACTTTTCTTTTTTTTTTTTTTTTTAAGATTTTATTTATTTTAGAGAGAGATAGAGAGCTCAAGTGGGGGGGGGCAGGGAAGGGGCAGAGGGAGAGAGAGAATCCCAAGCAGACTCCACACTGAGCACAGAGCCCGTCCCAGGGCTCAATCCCAGGACCCTGAGATCATGACCTGAGCCGAAAAGAAGAGTCAGACACTTACCAATTGAGCCACCCAGGTGGCCCTAGAGAGCATTTTTCCAAAGTGTGGTCTGTAGACCCCTGGGGACCCAGAGAACTTTTCTGGGATCTGAGGGCTCAAGACTATTTTCATAATGATATTAAGATGCTAATTGCTTTTCTCACTCACATCCTTCCACGAATGAATGCACAGTGGAGTTTTTCAGAAGCTATCTACCATGTGATATTACAACACACTGAATGCAAAGCAGCTATGAGAATATAGTTGCCTTCTATGAAGCTAGAGGCCTAAAGAGGTTTGCAAAAATGTAAAACTATGCCATTCTTCTTCCTAGAATTTTTTTAAAGATTTTATTTATTTATTTGAGAGAGGGAGAGAGAGCACAAGCAGGGGAAGAGGCAGAGACAGGGGGAGAAGCAGACACCCCACTAAGTAGGGAGTCCAATGCAGGGCTCGATCCCAGGACCCTGGGATCATGACCTGAGCCGAAGGCAGATGCTTAACCGACTGAGCCACCCAGAGGTATGGCTCCTCCCTAGGATCTTTGAAAATATAGTTATTTTCTGAAAATACGTTCTTTATATTAACATGTAATGGTTTTCTGATTACTTTTAAATCAATACATATTTAACTTTTTTTGTTTTAATTTCCAATGGTATGTGTCGATAGCTAGGACATAAAAATTTAAAAAGCTTTTTGGGGTCCTCAGTAATTTTCAAGAGTAAAAAGGGTCCTGCGATGAAAAGGACTGCACGTATCTAAAATATTATGCTTCCTGGTGTATCGGCATTTAATGACTCAAAATTTCATAGTTTAATGCCACTTAAACTTCTAGAGATGTGAGTTTAAAGTCTGGTCAAATGCGAAAAGCTTTTTGATGTTTGAAATGGGAGATGTAAAAACCAGAACCACCATGTCATGAGATAAAGAGTAGCAAACCCGTCTAGATGGGTCAGATAGAGTTGCTCTGCACAGAACCGTGGGTTTATCACTTGATTTGAGTCAAGAATCTTGTTCCAAAGATTCTCTGAACTGCAGTTTTTCTTCTTGTTTCATGGAGGAGGATTCCTTCATCTACATCTATGTGGTGGTATGTTGATCCCAAATAGAGGTAGGACTTGGGATCTTGGAAGTTGCATGAACTGGAAATCTCAATGCTAATTATATTTGCCCTATGGCATCCTGAAAAAAACTGCACATTTGATCATTGTCCGCAAAGAGCAAAGAAAGCTAGTGGGGGCAAAAGTTATTAGCATGCTTAGTGTGCTTTTTTTGGAAGGGGGGCTTCACGAAGCCCCAGTAAAAGCCCCAATTTTGCCACTAGAGTACTCGATCACATCTAGTTCATATATTCTAGCTCAACACAATTCCTGTTGTACCTCCTGGGAAATACACGGTTCCTGGAGAACAGTGTTAAGGAGGAAAAAGAAAGGTTTGAAGATATCATTAGTAAAGTCTCCTCAGCCCTCTCTGGTTTTCAAGTTCACAGTGGCGAAGGTGAGCTTCCACTGGAAAGGGACTTTGACGTGAAGTCAGGTCTCTTGGTTTATGTAAACTTAGGTGAGAGCGTTCTCTTTAAGCTGGGCTCAAGAAACCGTACCCCCAGTGAGCACATCACAAGTCTTTGAAGATGTGACTTTTTGACAATAACAACAATAAACTGCTCATTGTCTGTAGTTTATGTTACATTAGATAAGTATTATTCAGCAGAGAGAAAATTCTATCAAACATGCACTTTCAATCCATCTACTCCAACCTGCTTACAAAATGCCTGAGATGCGACTAGCTCACTTGGCAGAGGCTGGGCCCCCACCCCGAGTTGGGTGGGGAGCCGATGGCTTACAGGAAGTCTACTGAGAGCCTCGCTCTAGGCATTTACAGTATCAGTCCCATGAGGAAGCCCCACGACCGGGGCAGGGCGTAGAGTGGTGAGAGGCAGATGGGGGGAAAGCAAACTGCTCGGTGGAACTAAGGAGTACAGTTTTCTCACAATGTGCTCCACAATGCCCTTTCGAAACTGACCCAGCGATCTGAGGTAGGCATTTATTTGTTGCTTTGGCCTTCTCGGCAGCCCCCCTTCACTGGTGACAGCACCCCACCCCCACCCCCTCAACTGTGATGTCCAGCGGAGCTGATGTCACTCCTCGCTTCGTGCTGTGGGGCAGAGGTGTGACCCAGGACCAGAGCCATCATCCTAGCTCTCCTCTGACCAAGGTGATGGTTCCCATCTGGGCGTGTGACCCAACCCAGGCCAAGCAAAGCCAGCCCAGTCCTTCTCTTTTAACCATTTAGGAGAAAGAACCCCTCTTCTGCTGGACTGACTCTGGATGTAAGTTTAAAGTCTGGGGGCCACTATGAGGAGAGACCCTGAAGTCAACTTGAAGGCAGACAGAACAGCAAGAAACCAAGTCCACGCTTCTGAAATCCCAAAGCACACATACTCTGGAGCCAAAAAATTCTCCCTCTTTAGCTTAAGCCAGTTGGAATTGGGTTTCGGTCACTTGCAACCACAGGATATATTATTTCTCAACTGCTCACAGTGGTAGCCAGTCTTTCTTCAATTATTTGAGTCAAAAATTTAAGCATGGAGAATTAAAACCTAACAAATATGTATATACCCATCATGCAGAAGGAATGCTTGTTAGCAGTCATATTTCTTCAGATGTTTTTAAATTTTATTTTTAAGTGCTCTCTATACCCAATGTGGGGCTTGAACCCACAACCCCAAGCTCAAGAGTTGCAAGCTCCACTGACTGAGCCAGCCAGGCGCCCCAGTATTTCTTCAGATTTTTTAAGTTGATGTTCCTATTATGTTTCTCCCTCACTGCATTTCCTCTCTTCTTTGCCAGAAGCAGCATTATTTTGGAATTTAAGTGTATCTTTCTCGTCCACAAAATGTACTTTGTACCTGAGTCCACAAACATGGTTTACTATTCTCTTGGTTTTTTGTTAATGCCTATAAATATCACATAGTACAAGTCACTCTGGAACTCACTGTTTTCCACCCAAATCATGTATTTGACATTCATCACTGAAGCTTACGGCTCTCATTCATTTCTTTTGTCTGCTGAGTAATATGCCATCCTATTAAAAGCTGTCTCACTCTTTCCATTCTACTAGTTATAACCATTTAGCTCATCTCCTGTGTTTCACCGGCATAACAACGCTGCTTTGGACATCCCGCGCATCTCTCTTTGCACACGTGTGGGAAGGTTTCTCAAAGGAGGGATCCACTGGGTGGCATGAGATGTGCATTTTCCATTTCAGCAGAAGCTGCTAAGCTACTCTCCAAAGTGAGTGTAAATTCAGGTCTTCCTGAAAAACGGCTCGCAATACAGGAGCTCCTGAGTCCAGCCCTGCAGCGGACACAAGGTGACAAATGGGAGGGAACAGGCCAGGCACGCACTACCTGCCAATAGGGAAAGGGGTTTGAACGAGGCTGGAGACCTGCAAAGTAACCTGACGTACACATGGACCATGTTAGGGTACTGTGGGGCAGACAGCGTCTCCAGGACTCTAGGGGTGCAGGTGGCCCATCTCCCCATTCCTCACCTTTCTTAACCAAATCCAGACTGTCATGAGCACTCACCAAAAGTATGAATGTAAAATGATACAATGAAATGCAGCTGAGAGGGGTTTCTGTCCTCACCATGTAGTTTATACAGAAAGTGCACGTGGGCCAAGGAGAAACGGTGGCTGGAGGCTAGAAAACCTTGGGCCCAGAGGAAAGCACAGACTGAAAATGGAGTGAAAGGAGAATAAGATGCTGGGATCCTGAGCATGAGAATGTGGCCTCCGTTGGCCCTGGGCCATGTAACAGGCCAAGACCAGACACAGTTCCTGCGGAAAGGCAAAGCACAATCTGTCATGTGTTCATATGTCTGTGTCAAATGGCTTCCAAGCCAACTGGGGCCACCTCGGATCTATACGGTTGAAGCCGAGAAGAGGTAAGAAGAAGGCAGAGGGGTTGCAGAGGCAGAGAGACGGGATCAGAGGCACTGTCTGCAGACGAATGGGCAGTGATGCGCAGTGTGAGGCCCCACTTTCTTCTTGGGTGCTCGTGTCCAGGGGTTCTAGAGATGTCTTGTGAGGCAGGGCTGAAGAAGAACCCATTCAGCTGGATCCTCACTTGGAAAAACTGACCAAACAAGGAGCTTGCCCAGGAGTGGGGATGGGAGTATATGAGAAAACTGGCCACGTGGAAGTCCATCTGGACTAATGAGGAACAGACATAAAATGGGACTCCTGAGTGTTGAAATCGGAACAAAACCTGAAAGAATAATCACAGCTTGAGATTGAGAGGAGGTCAATTAGATTTGTGCGAACAGATTTTGGGGGAAAACAGAGAGGGCTGAGTGGCCTGACAGAGAGCTCAACTCTCGACCTTCCTCTTCCTGACCCACAGCAAGTTCAAGTTCAAATGCTCTTGACTCACTGGGGACCCTGAGAACACAGAAGTACCTGCCTCTGCACCTTATGCCACAAGTTGGTAAAAGTCTGTCTCGGGCTAATCTCCAAGAGCAGTCTGCTTGGGAATGGGCTGAGGTTAGTTACCCAAAATACTGAGCAAGTCCTGGGAGAAGGCACCCTGAAGTGTGACCCAGAAAAGGAAAGGTAGGTTGGACCCAAGTGACCACAGGGTCATAGCTGGAGAACAAGGTGAGGAGTTCATTCCCAGTGTAGGGGCAAAGCCAGAATGATAGAAGATCGAGAAAACTGAATGGAGACCCAAGAGGTAAAGTGGTGGAGGGATTATACACGTTGGGGTGGGAGGCGCCAAGCAGAACTGGTCTTCCCCTTCAGACTAGTGAAATGCTCATATTCAACTGGCCTAGGATGTAACAGTCCTCACCTCTGTGCTGGCCCCATTTCCTGGGTGGCAACCACAACCTGGGGTTTTGCCGGCCAGCGTCCATTCCTCCTCCTTCTGGTAACAACATCCCAATTCTCTGTTAGTCAACCACTCCTCCACCACTGTCAGTCCACGTGGCACAGGGAGAGGGGCAAAAGGCTAGCCCCACTCCAGCTGCAGGGGAGGACATGTTATCCAGACTTGGGTCCATGTCCAAATCCGTCCATCCAGAGTCACCATTTCTAGAGTCTTCTAGAATGATTTGGAAAGAAGCAAACTCTTTCCATGGGGTGGTTAGGCTGGTAAAATGTAATCCTGGAGCTTGTGGGAGCTACCTTTGCCACCACTTGGAGAGGGCCTGCCTGAGAAGGAAGCTTGCGTAGGAAAACAGAATTGAGACATAGAAACAGGGGACCGACAGCTTCATTTTAGCACCTGATCTGACCACTCTTGAAGCCACTTTACCCTTTAACTACAAGACTCTAATTACATAACAAGTAAGTTCCCTTCTTTGCTTAATCAGCTGGGACAACTTTCTGTCACCTAGAATCAAGATATTAGTACAGTTGGTAAATCATTTGTCACTCCTAATAAAGAATCGATGTTTCTGAATTCTATCTTTTACGATATTTAAACAATAAATTAGAACAGATTCAAGCGACCTGCATAATAATTTCACCAATTCATTTGCATTCTGACATGCAAGGGTTACAGTCACCGTCCCTGGGCTGGGAGTGGCACGCTCTGGGCATGCGGGAGACTGCCCTCCCTGCTCTCATAAATCAGATGCTTAGTTAATGATAATAACTTCTATCAGAAGAAGTGTTTTCTGCAGTTGTAAAAGTGTTTCCACACATATCATCACACTTGAATCATAAGACAATCCTATGAGGTTGGTTTCTTATGCCCTCTTTAGAAGCAGGAACTCTAAGAGAGCTCGGGGAGGCTAAATGCCTTTCTCAGAGATACACAGCCAGTCAGAGGCCACACCTGGACTGGAATCTGTGTTGGTCCTCTGGGGCCAGTGCTCCTTCTGTTCCACAAGCTTCCTCAAAAGTCAGTATCCAGTGTGTGGAACTCAGGGACTGTGGTTCCGAGGGGAGTCCAGGCTCGCCGGGTGAGGCACTCACAAGGGCTTTGAGGGAACAGAGAACAGAAATAAATAGCACAGCTGAGGCTGGAAAGACTCTCTGGCTGTCCGGGAGTTTCCAAGAGCTACCACATATCCTTTCAAAAGAAAATCCCTTTCTGCTTAAACTAGAGAGACGGCAGTCTACTGTCTGCACCAAGAAGGCTGACCGCTCTCATCTACATCTTGTCTATGCCATGCGTCCCCCTGCCACCATCCTGGCCATGTGTGACCTCCCGGGAAGCACAGAGCCCCGCCCTGCTCCACTCATGGCCTCCTGCAGTGGCAACCGCTGCTTACCCAAGACAGGTCAGGCTGTGGCCAGTGGTCTGCGCTTTCGCTGGTTCTGGCTTCCCCCGTGGCACGTGGCCACCACCTTGGAATCTGACGTGGGAACAGGGCTTTCCCTGCGGGAGAGGAGCAGCTCCGCTCGCCCGCATCTTGCCCCTACACCCAGGCAGCGCCGTGGTCCTAGGTCCGTAACAAATGTATCCGACAGCCCCCGTTTCTCGGTGAGAATTGTGTCCAACAGCAGCTGGGTGTGGTGCAGGGAACACCACAGGGCTAACTGCCAGGATCCCGGGAGGAGAGCTGAATCTGGGGGGTGCATCAACCTGCGTCCCCAGGGAACAGGAAACACTACAGAGTACTTAGAGCTCTCTCCTGCAGTGTTTCCTACGCTCTCACCCACCCTTCTAGCTATCCCAAAAGGCTCTCACTGCAGGGCTTCAGGCAGGCTTGTCCGCTGAGACACATGCCCGCACTCTCACTGTCTGCCGTTCATTCCTTCATTTGATGGCGTTCATGGGGTAGATCCTCCATGTCAGGCCTTGCTCAAGCTGTGGAAAATACGATGGGGAACAAGACAGAGGAGCCACCGGCTCTCATGAAGTGCATCTTCCAGAAGGCACTGGGGTTGAGGGCCTCGCATTTGGGCTCCCCGGAAACAAGACAGTACTTTCGACGATTACTTGTGACCAAACTAATAAAAGACCTGAGATGGTTAACAATATTGTTTTGATAAGTTAAATGTGGCTTCCTCCTCCGTTTCTGGGACAAGTGGTGGTGAGAGGTAGCAAATAAAAAAATAATAATTGTTTCACCTGAAAGTCTGCCTAATTATTAGGCACAAACAAAAGTTTTTCCTGGAACAATGTCAAACCAAGCCTGTGACCTGAGCAGCACCTCCCAGTCACCAGGAACTGGTGATAAACAAAAGGTAAATAAACAATTTCCGGTTTTGGTAAAGTACAACCAAAGGCAACAAAACAGAGCACTGTGATGAGGAGGACAGGGGCCTTCTGTAGATGGAGTTGCCAAGGGAGGGCTCTCTGAGGAAGAAAGACGTGGCCGACCACTGACTCTCTGCAGATGACATGGCCCATCTTGGTGAAAGCGGCCCGTGGAGCAGAGGCAGCTCCAGTCCTGCCTCTTCATTAAGGAGCCTGAAGACGTCCTTTTGGAGGCTGCCAGTCCCTTGCCCAATAAACAATCAGAATAAGGCAAGGTCCCCAGGTGGCTGCACGTGCTCTGAGAAAGGACTGTTGGTGGCATGGAACAGAAGGAATCGGAACAGGGCCACACTGCTGGGGACAAGGCAGGCGCTTCACGTCCAGGGGACAGACAGAAGCAGGGAAGGGAAAGAGCGTAGAGAGAGAAAAGGGGTGAAGAGACAGCAGCAGAGAGACTGCGCCACGCTGAAATGGGCTACAGTGAGGGCAGAGGGGATGGAGCAGACCAGGTCACGGCCACAAAGCAGGGACATGTCTCTTCTGCCCACTGGAACTTCTGACTCAGATGCTGTTGACACTCTCTCGGGAGAGAGCAGGAGAGGGGTGGGAGAAGTCACAGCTGGAATGTTTTGGGAGTCTGTTTAGTATGTCAGCATAATCAGTCCCATGTGTGGCCCCTGGAAAAAAGTTGAGAATCGCTCCTGTGGCGAGTTTAGTTGTCTGGCGACAATTGACAGTAGAGAAGTATCTGCAGTTTTGCAAAGTGATTTCACATAAGTCACCTCATTTACTCCCCCAAACCGTCCTGCTCTATTCCCAGAGGGCTACGACCCACAGCGAAGCCCAGAGAAGTTACGTGACTCCCCCAAACCACGCAGCTGATCAGGACACAGTCCTTGTGGGAATCCAGGCTGTCTTCCCAACTGCCTGGCTGACATCCCTGAGCTCTGCCTTTGGGAGGTTTGGGAGGGAGCCAGGCCAGAAGACATTCAGAGTGGTCAGCGGGCTCCCCTTCTGCCTCTGGTCCCTGTCTTCACAACCGAGCTTTAGAGATTCATGTGAGCGCCAGCTGTCTAGAACAGGACTGTGAACTTGAACAACCCCCAAACAGTCACTGGACCCACTCTTCTTATGTGATGGCAGCTCTCAAACCTTGGCATGCACCAAAGCCTCCTGATAGACTGGTTAAAATGCAGATCACTCAGCCCCATCCCCAGAGCCTCTGATTCAGCAGGTCCGGGGTAGGTGGTCAAGCACGTGCATTTCTACCAAGTTCCCAGGTGATGCTGCTGCTGCTGGTCCAGGGGCCACACTTTGAGGACCAGAGATCGGCATCTTCCCCTCCTTGAGGGGAGAGGGATTACAGGACTCTGGAATCCTTATGAGGCTAATTCTTCCTCAGGTGGAGAAGTAGAAAGGATGGGAGGGCCAGGTGGACAATTCAACAGAGATCTAAGGAGCTGCTTTGCCATGAGGCACATGATAGAAAACCCAGTGAAGACAGGAAATCACAAATTAGATCAGAGGAAGTCAGGAGGAGCCTGTGAGATACAGAGCAGGGGATAGAACGCTGGAGACCTGGCTAACATTCACTTTATTTTTTTTTTAAAGATTTTTATTCATTGAGAGAGTGAGAGAATGGTAGAGAGAGAGCATGAGAGGGAAGAGGGTCAGAGGGAGAAGCAGACTCCCTGCTGAGCAGGGAGCCCGATGTGGGACTCGATCCCGGGACTCCAGGATCATGACCTGAGCCGAAGGCAGTCGCGTAACCAACTGAGCCACCCAGGCGCCCTAACATTCACTTTAGTTATCTAAGAGCACTATCACAACATCTACGCTGTCCACACACCACCTGAGGTAGGATTTACTTGCGGGTTTTTTACAAATCAACATGTTTCTCACATACCATTAGCCTTGTCCTAAACAAAAGTAAAATAATGAGAGTAACAGCAGCCAACACTTGCACATGCTTGCAGATACCAGACGTGCATGTACATACATGCATATGTTTACACCCAGATGCACACACGCACACATATGTGCGTGCATACATACACACAGCCCTTTCAATCCTCACGGCAAGCCTGCAAGGTCAATCCTGTATCATTATCTCCATTCTACAAGAAACTGAGGCCTACGTAAGGTAACCCTGACCAAGGTTACACACACAACAAGCACGTGGCTGGGTCCGGAGTCCATGCTCTTAGCCCCCCAAAATTAGGGCTTTATGGCTTAACTTGGGTTAGGTAGCTTGCCAGAGAACACAGAGCTAGCACTGGGATGGGAGCCAAGATGTGAACATGAATAGAACGTTAACACCGGAGTGTTAACCACCGACATGTCCCCAGACGGGCTGTGACTGGTGGTGGTAATGAGGGGGTGCTGGGCTGGGACGGCACTGTGGAGAGGAGCTTGGACCTTGGCCTGAATAAATCCTACAGACGGCTCCCTCCTTTGAACTGGGCTTGAGATGCCCATCATCTCCTCAGTACCTCTCAACCTTTAATAAAAATAACTCCAAAGCTGACCTTCACTAGTCTGTATCATGAAACAACTGTTTTCCATTTTCTTTTTCAAACATAAAAGTATATGAGATATGCTTTTTCAAAGTACTGAATCCACCCCATCCCACACCCTCTCTCCCCAAACACGCGCCCCCTGGAAAACTTTTGCTTTTCAGAGAGACTAAGGGGGCAGGTCAGCCGGGCTTCCCACACAGTATCAGAGGGACTGTTGGAACAGGGGGAAGGAAGTGAGGCCAGCTGGTGGAAAGCAGGGAGAACTCAGCTTTGCCCCACTTGGTTCCTCCCAGACCAGAAACTCTCCCTCCTCTTCCTGCTTCACCAGACTTAACACCAGGAGAGGAGCAGAATAGGAAGCTCCCCACTTCCCCGACCCATCCCCAGCAACCCCAGGGCAGCAAGGAGGTCTCAGTAGGAGTCTGAGGCTCATGGGAACCCCCGTGGCTTGACATTTGCTCCAGAATGGAGATTCCTCAGTAATACTCGGAGGCTGCAGTCTCTGCTGTGGGGGCCAAGATGGGCAGCAATGAAGGCAAAACAAGACTCAGGGAGAAAAGCAGCACTCTCCCTTCCCAACGTTTCCGGTGAGTTTCTTTCACTCGAATCCAGAACATCAGGAGTATCTATGTAAAATGATGCAAAGGACGCTGGGCAAGAGACAACAGCGAGTGGTCTCCTCCCTTCTGCTCCTACTAGTCTGGAAAGTGGGCCGGTGTGGGAGGACAGCAAAGCCTGGACAGAGAGAATGGAGGGCTAAGAGACAGATGCTAGGTCCCTGCAGAGACTCCTGTATCAAGAGGCCTCCCTCACCTCCCAAAAAACCTGAGGAAGAAGGAAGCAAGCAGACAGGAGCAAGACATTCTTGCCCTCCAACAGGTAACTAGAGGGGTCTTCACAAACCATAAATCAGATTTCACTTCTCTGCCCAAAACCCTTCCACAGTTTCCTATTACTTTGAGCATAAAGTCTGAATCGGCCCGTTGGGCTACAGGGACCTGCGTGAGGAGCTTTCCCTGCTCAGTCACCTCTCTGACCTCATTTCCCATCACTCTCCCTCATGCTCATTCCACCCCAGCCACACTGGCCTCCTTTCAGTTCCTCCACCACACCATACTCTGTGCATCCCCTGGGCCTTTGCACAAACTGCCTTGCCTGCCCAGAGTGTTCTTCCCCCAGCTCTTCACAGGGAGAGTTCCTTCAGGCCTCTGCTCCATGTCACCCCTTCAGGGAACCCTTCCCTGCCACTCAGAGCACCTCCCTCACATCCCAGGCGACTGTTACATCATCCTATTTTGTTTCCTTCAAGGAATGTGCCACGACAATAAATTATCTTCTATGTTTATGTAGATACTGTTCTATTCTCCTTGCCCCCAATAGCACGTAAATTCCATGAAGGCAAGAGCCATGTCTGTATTGTTTGATGCTCTATCCCCATTCACTCAGAGAGAGATGAAATGCATGATCTGGTTGTCATCCTGCTCTCAGCTGCCTCATCCAAGAGACTTCCAGGAGTATCTGAGGAGCCTAGGGCTGGCCTGGGCCCACAGAGCTCAGAGAGAGAGGTCCCTGGAGAGAAGAGAGGAGATGGCAGAGAACTTGGGGAAAAAGAGATGTGTTGGAGCAACAGCAGAGCTGATTCCTCAAACAGCCATGGACTTTGTGAGGCCACATGGCCTCAGACACTATTCTGGGCAGGCTGGGGCCCCTGGACCTGAAAGCCAGGAGTCCCCCAAAAATGTGCTCACACAAAATGTGCTCTGCTGGCCAGGGAATGCCAAGTGATGCAAAACCGGAGATGAATCTGCTTTGGCTGGACCATGCCAGGAAGGGAACAGGAACTTGACAAACTTGACATTGTCTGGGGGGGGGAGGTGGAGAGGAAGAGAGTGAAGAAAGACCAAAAAGAAAGGGTGAAACACAGCTGACGACCTGAAAGAAGCCTCCAAAAGAGAAAGTATGGGCTGCATGGAATCTGGTTGGAAAGAGAGCCCTGGGAAAACAGTCAGAACTTGGATTGGGAGAGAGAAGAATTCGATTGGCAGGGGCAGAGACGTGGGGAGAAGCAGAGAGGGCCCAACGGCCTGAGCAGGGTTGGGCGAGGGCTCTTCCCCTCTGACACGTGACTCCTTGGACGGGAGAGCTCCGCGGCCCTAGAAGAGAATAGTCATGAAGGTGCTTACAGGCCCATACCCTCTCCCCAAAGCCCCAAGCCTTCTCGGGGAGCACCATGGGAGCAACCCTACCACTATTTGTGTCTGGGGACGAGGGTGCTGGAGCCCATGCCACAGAAGCACTGGGACGGCTGGAAAGCTAAGTGGAGGGTGCCACTCTAAGAAACAATGTGACAGTGTCAGGGGTGAAGGGCAGGTGGGTCTGAAGGTGAACGTAGGCAGATGCTTGCTTACACCGGTGCCCAGCCAGACAGGAGCCCCAGGTGGGTTGGTCCATCCCCAGCCAGGCCAGGAGCGTCTCGGCTCATCTGGTCCTCTAACTCAACAGTTCTCAAAAGACGTGTTGAGACACACAGGTATGTGGCAACCAGAGGCAAGAAATGCAGGTCAATGGTTCGTGGTAATACTGAAAGGACCAGGGTTTGTGAAGTTAAGTAAACAAAGAAATGAGCGGATACAAGGGAAGCCCTTATAATGTCACTGTCAGTTCCGGGCGTTCCATCATCCTTTCTGGAGTGAGCAGGAAAGGGGAACATCCCGGTGCAGACTG